AGATGAGAAGGGAAATGAAACAAGCTTCAGGAGGTATGAGATTCATTAGACGGCCCTGGGTGGTAGAAAGGTAAGGTGCAGCTGTTCTGAAAAAGTTCCAATTAAGGGGATACATTCGCCTTGCAAACAGCCTCTCCTTCTCTTGTCTGCTGGTGCCAGCTCAGTTGGCAAAGTCAAGCAAACAAGGTATAGCATAGCAGAAAGCTAAATGAGAATGCAGTTTCCTACTGGGAAGAGGTTTTAATGACTCCTCCGAGGATCAAACATTTCTCTGCACATCAGTGCAAATGCTTTATGCATGCATAAGCAGCACAGAGTCCATAATAAACTGCTGTGTAGAAACACCCTCAGACATTTCTTCTTCCTCTTCTTCTTCTTCTTCTTCTTCTTCTCAGCATAATTAGTGTTTTGTTTTTACCACAGTCCAACACACTTTCAGATAGCCTCCGAAACTGGAGATCACAGCCCAATTCATTTATTAATATTTATTAGTTGTTTTCCCTACAAGAGTGACCCAAAGCATCTTACAAACACGATGTAAACACTAAAACCAACACTAATAAAAACTTTTAAAAACACACCCATACAAATAAAATACAGCGCTTATAGGATCCTGACCCAATAAAAAAGGCCACTGAAACCCTTCAAATTAAGGACCAAAAGCCCAGGTAAAAGGAGTTATTGCCTGGTGTCTAAAAATAAATTGATGCCAGGCCTACCTCCCTGGAGAAAGTATTCCACAAGCCAACAGTGAAAAGGCCTGTTCTACTTGCCAATTCTACCATGAGGTTTAACAGGAAGATTTGGACAGAGATTTATACAGCCTACCTCACAAGGATGCTGTCAGGATGCTACATCCAAGCACGGTCCTTGAGACAAAGAAGGAAAGCAATATAAGACAGAAATAACTAAGATTATGCTCCGTATGTTACGTTTACAGATCTGAAGTTAAACCATCAGTAAAAAGTGTTTCCAGGCGATGGGATGGGTTTGAGGAGAAATTAAATGTGCTCTCTTCTTGGGGAGCAATTTTAACAGATTTATTCCTGCAATGCCAAACCATGCCCAGGGGCAAAGAGGTCTGAAAACTGCTGTATCCCCAGCATCAATATGAAAACAGCATGACAAACAAAACAAAATGCAGAAAACAAAAGCCGCTGGTGTTCTTCTGAAATGCTTGCAATTATCCCGATGTATAACATCTTGTTAAATATGTTGTCTTGCTGTTGCAAGAGACACTCTGGGTGTTACTTGTTATTGTTTTAGACTAATAATAATAAAACATCAAGGTTGCAGGTTCGATCCCCGTATGGGACAGCTGGATATTCCTGCATTGCAGGGGGTTGGATTAGATGATCCTCAGGGTCCCTTCCAACTCTACGATTCTATGACCCCATGACTCTAATACTGATGGTAAGCATGTAGATCTCATGCTTAAAAAGGTAAAGGCACCCCTGACCATTAGGTCCAGTCGTGACTGACTCTGGGGTTGCGGTGCTCATCTCGCTTTATTGGCCGAGGGAGCCAGCGTTTGTCCGCAGACAGCTTCTGGGTCATGTGGCCAGCATGACTAAGCCGCTTCTGGCAAACCAGAGCAGCGCACGAAAACGCCATTTACCTTCCCGCCGGAGCGGTACCTATTTATCTACTTGCACTTTGACGTGCTTTCGAACTGCTAGGTTGGCAGGAGCAGGGACCGAGTAACGGGAGCTCACCCCATTGCGGGGATTCGAACCGCCGACCTTCTGATCGGCAAGTCCTAGGCTCTGTGGTTTAACCTACAGCGCCACCCGCGTCCCTCAGATCTCATGCTTACCACACAGACAAAAAGTGTGTCGCTGAAGAATTCAGAAACAAAACTCCAATACAGAAACACAACTTCAGTAATCACAGAATTGTAGAGTGAGAAGGAACCAGGAGGGTCATTGAGTCCAGCTCCCTGCAAAACGCAGGAAGCTTTTGCCCAACGTGGGTCAGATCAAATCATGATGAAACTAATGTTTCATTAAGAAATTTTAAAATGGATGCCCAGTTTTCCAGGTTTTCTATAGCTGGCTTTTGGAGGAGGATTGGAAGTTAGCTCCTGACCTTCTCCCCCCCCCCCACAAAAAACCCCCAACACACTAAGCATTTCCATTTCTGTTGCTGCCAACTCTATGGGCATAATAAGCATCCCAAAGAAGAGGACAGCCTTGGCACTGGGACCCCAACAGTGCCAGCTTGCTCAGTCTCGGCTAGTTCAAATGAGGACAAAGTCCTTTTAACAGGGAGGCTTACATAACAGCTGCAGCTTGCAGGAACTCTGAGCTACCAAACACTGCTCCCCAAGCTCAGAGGCTCAACAGAAGGTGGCTTATGAAAGAATATGGAATTTGCAGGTGCATCAGCAACGCTTTGCGGCGATTAAAAACAACAACAACAACTTTGTGAGCCCTGCTGAGTTGGAAGGCTCTCCGTCAAAATACTTCTGTCTGCTTTGAAGGGCTTGTGGACATTCTATTTCCTTAGAGATAGATTTAACCAACAGGCAGTTTGGAACATCAGGATTTGCTTCTCCCCACCCCACCCACAAACCCTTCATCTGTTTTCTCGATGCTCAACACTACAATTTCTCCCCAAGCTTCCCCTCTTTTATATTCCAAGGGCTGTCATTACAGGCATTCAACCTATGAATTCCTTTTAAAGCACGGCAACAAAGGGGAAAACAAGTTTACAGTATGATTTCAGAGAAGAAGCCTTTATTTCTTTCTATGGTGAAAACAAGCCACCGGCATTGGCAGCTGCTGCTGCTGCTGCTATTATTAAGACAAAAAAAATCTCCAGAACGTGACTAAATCTGAAGGAACTGAAAACGAATGAAAAACACACCTCTGCACACACGCACACACACCCTCCAGTTCTGAAACGGTTGCCAAGTGTGTCAAGAAACACCAGGCACCAAATTTGCTGGACCAATTTCAACTGATGTCGTAATATGAAACTTCTGGGTTTGGATGGGATGCTCCATTCGGGTTGGTTTCACAGAAGCAGTGGCATTGCTCCTCTGCCGTCGTAGCAAGCTGCCCTGGGAAAGGTGCAAAGGCCTATGGCAGGGAACAGGGTCACACTGAAAGATGCCTGTATTAGGAAGTCTGGATAGGAAGTCTGGTGTAAGTAAAGGTAAAGGGACCCCTGACCATTAGGTCCAGTCGTGACCGACTCTGGGGTTGCGGCGCTCATCTCGCTTTATTGGCCGAAGGAGCCGGCGTACAGCTTCTGGGTCATGTGGCCAGCATGACTAAGCCGCTTCTGGCGAACCAGAGCAGCCCATGGAAATGCCGTTTACCTTCCTGCTGGAGCGGTACCTACAGTGGTGCCCCGCAAGACGAATGCCTCGCAAGACGAAAAACTCACTAGACGAAAGGGTTTTTCGGTTTTGCGTTGCTTCGCTGGACAAATTTCATTATGGGCTTGCTTCGCAAGACAAAAACGTCTTGCGCTTTTTTTTAAAAGCCGCTTGAAGAGGCACAGTTGCGATGGACCATGCTTCGCAAGACGAAAAACATCGCAAGACGAAAAGACTCGCGGAACGAATTCTTTTCATCTTGCGAGGCACCACTGTATTTATCCACTTGCACTTTGATGTGCTTTCAAAGTTGGCAGGAGCAGGGACTGAGCAACGGGAGCTCACCCCGTCGTGGGGATTTGAACCGCTGACCTTCTGATCGGCAAGTCCTAGGCTCTGTGGTTTAACCCACAGCGCCACCTACGTCTGGTGTAGCAGTGGGCAAAATTCTTCCCACGTGATCCTGCCCCTCTCCCACGTGGCTTCTGCGTTTCTGGGGAATGTAGGAAGCTGCCTTACACAGTGGTACCTTGGTTCTCAAACGCCTTGGTTCCCAAACACAGACAACCTGGAAGCAAATGTTCCGGTTTGCGAGTGTTTTTCGGAAGCCAAATTTCCGATGCGGTTGTCGGCTATCGTTTCCGGGGTGCCTGCACCAATCAGAAGCCGCACCATGGTTTTCGAACATTTCGGAAGTCAAACGGACTTCCGGAATGGATTAAGTTCAAGAACAAAGGTGCCACTGTATTTGGCACTTTTGTTTTCACTATTTATTTTGCATTTTTGTTTTTGAGGCTTTTTTGGTTCATTTGTTTTTGTGACTGTGTGGAACCGAGTTCAGCTACTGATTGATTGATTGATTGATTGAGTGCACGTAAGAAAAAAATTAATTCTAATTTTTATCATCTACAATACTGTCTTATTTATTTTATAGTACAGTACATTAATAACTGCTTTCATTTTATGGATCAATGGTCTTGTTAGATAGTAAAATTCATGTTAAATTGCTGTTTTAGGGGTTGTTTTTAAACGTCTGGAACAGATTAATCTGTTTTGCATTGCTTTCTATGGGAAAGCACGCCTTGGTTTTGGAACGCTTTGGTTTTGGACTTCCGGAACGGATTAAGTTTGAGAACCGAGGTACCACTGTACTGTGACATGGTTGGGTCCATCTAGCTCAGTACTATCTAGGCACCAGGCATCCCCAAACTCAGCCCTCCAGATGTTTTGGGACTACAATTCCCATCATCCCTGACCACTGGTCCTGTTAGCTAGGGATGATGGGAGTTGTAGTTCCAAAACAGCTGGAGGGCCGAGTTGGGGGGTGCCTGATCTACACTCACTGGCAGCAGCTCCTCAGGGTCTCAGGAAGGGGCTCCTAACCCGGAGATGCAGCTGGGACCTTTGGCATGCAGAGCAGGTGCTCTAATCACTGTGACGTTTCCCCTCCCTTTGAGCTGTGGCACTTTTGTATTATGGAGGGTGAGGCTCTGCCATTAATGCCTTCACAGTCAAGAGACAGTAATGCTTCTGAATCCCAGCTGCTGGAAACTGCAGGAGGCAGGGAGGGCTCTCGCACTCAGGTCTTGCTTGCAGGTTCCATAGGATCGTAGAACCACAGAGTTGGAAGAGACCCTGCGGATCATTTAGTCCAAACCCCTGCAACGCAGGAATATGCAGCTGTCCCTTAGGGGGACTGAACCTGCGACCCTGGCGTTATCAACGCCACGCTCTAACCAAATGTGCTATCCAGCTGCATCTGGCTGGCCCCTGGGAGAACAGGGTGATGGACCCAATGGGCTACTGGCCTGATCCTGCAAGGTTCCTGTGCTCACACGGGAATGGCAACAACAGCCTGCTAACTTATTTCTGCCCCATTTTTCTGCATCTCAAAGTGGCTTACAGTTTTTGCTTTTAATTAAATTAAATTAATATCCCATCCTTCCTCCGGAAGGAGCCCAGGGAAGCAAACAACAAGTGATTAAAAAAGTAAAAACATATGAATAACACCTTAAAAACAATTCAGATGCAGATTGGGAAAGAGCTCGACTTAAAAGGCTTGTGAGAAGAGTAAGATAATCAGTACAGTGGTGACTCAGGTTACATACGCTTCAGGTTACATACACTTCAGGTTACAGACTCCGCTAACCCAGAAATAGTGCTTCAGGTTAAGAACTTTGCTTCAGGATGAGAACAGAAATCGTGCTCCGGCGGCATGGCAGCAGCGGGAGGCCCCATTAGCTAAAGTGGTGCTTCGGGTTAAGAATAGTTTCAGGTTAAGTACGGACCTCCAGAACGAATTAAGTACTTAACTCGAAGTACCACTGTAGTTGCAAACAAAGACAACAGATCTAGCTCCTAATGTTTAGCAATGTTAACTATCAGGCCTTTTCAGATTTCATTAGATCGAAGCTGGTCTTGAATTCTGTCTGGAATAGTTCCTTTTACTCCGAGATCATGCAGAAAGCGAAAGACCAAAGTCTCTTGTGGTTCTCTATCTGCAAGAAAAATGAAGGCCTAAGTAACAAGGCACTCTGGGTGGTTAATGCGATGGGCCACATGGATTTCCATTAATCACCCAACAGTAAAAAGATGCAGCCCTCAAACAACTGATGCATTTCCGAAGGGCTTCTCAATGCCGAACAAGTTGATCTAAACAGACAGGACAGACAGATGGAGAAGGATAAACAGAGCTAAGTAGTAACACAGTTTGGGGTTTAGCTCGGGTTTTTCCAGCAACTACCATATTAACCACTGTTTTATCATGCTCAAAAATAAGTGACACTTACAAGAACTGAGAGAGCGCACAACACCCGCAGACTTCTTGTCCTTGCAAATCAGAGCTGCCAACGGAGTGCCACTAACCAGAAGGGGTATCTGACAACAGGGGTGGCAAGGAAAACCATGAAGGAAAAGCTACCAAATTTAGCAGAGGTAACTCACATGAGTGATGTTTGGGAAATAAACACACACATGTGGATTTGCTTTCAGAATTTCAAATGGAGAAATCAGAGATAACCTTGCATTAGGCTTCTCCAACCTGGTGCCCTCCAAATTCTTTGGGCTATAGTTCCCATCAGCATGGCTGTGCTGGTTGGGGCTGATGGGACCTGCAACCAGCCTAGCCATGTTGATGGGCACTGTAGTCCTAAGAATCTAGAGGGTGCAAGGATGGAGAAGGCTGCCTTTCATGACATCCAGCTCCATGGCTGTGTACACTCCACACACTGAAAGCATTCCCCACCTGAATTCTGGGAACTGTAGTTTACCCCTCACAGTTATAATTCCTAGTCCCCTTAAACTAGAACTCCCAGGATTTGGGGAGGGGGAGAGATGTACGGATATGCTTTAAATCTATGCAGTCAGTGCCAAACATCAAGATAGGAACATTAGAAGAGCCTGCTGGATGAGGCCAATGGCCTATCTAATCCAGCATCCTGTTCTTACAGGGACGCGGGTGGCACTGTGGTCTAAACCACTGAGCCTCTTGGGCTTCCCGATCAGGTGGTTGGCGGTTCGAATCCCCACGACGGAGTGAGCTCCCGTTGCTCTGTCCCAGCTCCTGCCAACCTAGCAGTTCAAAAGCACACCAGTGCAAGTAGATAAATAGGTACCAATGCAGCAGGAAGGTAAACGGCATTTCCGTGCGCTCTGGTTTCCATCACGGTGTCCCGTTGCACCAGAAGCGGTTTAGTCTTGCTGGCCACATGACCCGGAAATCTGTCTGTGGACAAACACCAGCTCCCTGGGCCCAAAAGTGAGCTGAGCATCGCAACCCCATAGTCGCCTTGACTGGACTCAACTGCCCAGGGGTCCTTTACCTTTTACAAGGGGCAACTAGATGCCTGCAGGAAAGCCACAAGCAGGATCTGAGCACAAGAGCAACTGGGATCAAAAGCACTGCTGTCTCCAACCATGGAGGCAGAGCTCAACCATCACGGCTAGTAGACACTGACAGCCTAATCCTTCATGAATTTGTACAGTGGTGCCCCGCAAGACGAATGCCTCGCAAGACGAAAAACCCGCTAGACGAAAGGGTTTTCCGTTTTTCGATGCGCTTCGCAAGACGAATTTCCCTATGGGCTTGCTTCGCTAGACGAAAAAGTCTTGCGAGTCTTGCGATTTTTTCCGCTTTCCCCCCCTTTTTCTAAGCCGCTAAGCCGCTAATAGCCTTTTAGCTGCTAAGCCGCTAAGCCTTTAATAGCCGCTAAACCACTAAACCGCTAATAGCGCTAATCCGCTAAGCCGCTAATAGGGTTGCTTCGCAAGACGAAAAAACCGCTAGACGAAGAGACTCGCGGAACGGATTATTTTCGTCTTGCGAGGCACCACTGTACAATCCTCTTTTAAAGCATCTGAGTTGTTGGCCATCACTGCCTCCGGTGAGAGCAGGCTCCATAGTTTTATGCACTGCATGAAGAAGAGCCTTCTTTTTTTATAGAACATATTGAAAATGTGTGTCCTCGGAATTTTTATTCCGAAGAGCCACTGAGTGCCGCCTGGGTTCTCTCTCACCCATAACCTCAGACCCTCCTTCCTGATGTTCCAGAGGTCAACCAGTGGGCCAGGAATAGCTCCCCGTATAGAACGGTAGAATTGTAGAGTTGGAAAAGACCCTGAGGATCATCTAGTCCAACCCCTTGCAATATAGTAGTAGTAGTAGTAGTAGTAGTAGTAGTAATAATAATAATAATAATAAAATAATAATTTATTTATACCCTGCCCTCCCCGGCCAGAGCCGGGCTCAGGGTGGCTAGAACCAGTAAAATTACAGTAAAATCGTAATGGGGGGAAAAACCAATTTAAAATAAAGGTTAAAATGCAATTTAAAATGCAGCCTCATTTTAAAAGTAGCCCATAGATCAAAACCATAAGGGGAGGGAAACGTAAGGGTCAGACTGAGTCCAAACCAAAGGCTAGGCGGAACAGCTCTGTCTTGCAGGCCCTGCGGAAAGATGTCAAGTCCCGCAGGGCCCTCGTCTCTTGTGACAGAGCGTTCCACCAAGTCGGGGCCAGTCCTGAAAAGGCCCTGGCCCTAGTTGCGACCAATCTAATAGGAATATGCAACTGTCCCCTACGGGGGATCCAACCTGCAAAACAGCTCTGGACTCTGCACAGTCCAACTGCATCACTGCCTCTTTTACGACGTCACGCACATCTGCAGGAGAACCCGACCCACCACTTGCCTCCCCGGAAGGCATCAACCTCCCCATCAACAGAGGCCAGCATATGCCTTCGCAGGAAGCCATTCTCACCGTGAACTGAATGCCGGTGGAAAAAACGCTAAGAATAAATTGGCGCAGATTCTGTGCGTGTCGGGAAGCTATGCATTTGCAATGTTTAGGAGGGGGAGAATGAAAACAGCAGGCGATTCTACACCAGATCAAACACAACGTCAGAACACTGAGTTATTAGCAGAAATGTACGAACACCTCTTTTGTTATTTACTCCCTGAACATTTAAATGGAAGACCAAGCTGTTGTTGTTTGTTTGTTTTGGCATGCTCAACATGTACTTGAGCCAAACTCCACATGCAAACCCAAAACACACTTGCCTGTCATTCCCCTCGCTATTATAATATCTTTGACAGACAAGGGTATGGGCGATGGGTGTTTTTGGTTTTGATCTGCAGGACACTTACAAATGAACCGGTTGCCATAGGAACTGCTTGCCTCACGGAAAGCCAAGGCTGCTATTCTTAGACACCTGACGCTATGATAGTCTCTGGCGTACCGTGGCTCAGAAGCTACTGGCCCTAACCTCCTGTGAGATGCATCTCCAGCCTGCTGTCTCAGGGGCACCGCTGAGCACATCTCGGCTCAGGAAACCGTGGCGTGGGCACAAGCCAGGCTGTTGGCGGAAAGGACTGCAAATTCTATTTTTAAACCATCCTCTCCAGCCCTACTTGCTGCAAACTACGGATTCTTAGGTCTCTGCAAAAAGACAATGCCCAATCCCCTGCCTTGATGGATAATCCTAGACAAATTCATGTATCAGCTTATCCCATGGACACAAAAGGAACAAGCTCTGGGTCTGCGTGTGTCTTTGTTAAATACCAAATAACCCAGTTTCGCAAATGGAAGGAATGCGTTCAATGTTGTCTCGGTTTTGCACACTCTGTTCCTTAACAAATGCCTTTCTATTCCAGGGATTTTAAGAAAGCTTCCTGGTTTTCCCCCATATAATTGTAGAGTTGGGAGGGACTCTGAGGGTCATCTAGTCTAACCCCTGAAATGCAGGAATCTCAACTAATCTCTACTTTAAAAACCTCCAACAAAGGAGAGTCCACAATCTCCAAAGGGAGTCCTCGTTCCACTGTCAAACAGCTTTTACCAGCAGAAAGTTCTTCCTGATGTTTAGTCGCAATCTCCTTTCTTGTAACTTGTAACTACAGTGGTACCTCTGGTTACATAATTAACTCGTTCCGGAGGTCCAGTTAAACAGGCACAGCGGCAGGTGATCGGAAGTGTTAGGAGTTAAGTTTGGTACACAGAAATAAGTTGGAGACGGGGGTGGAGGTGGGGACTACAGTGTTGTACAGTGGTACCTCAGGTTAAGTACTTAATTCGTTCCGGAGGTCCGTTCTTAACCTGAAACTGTTCTTAACCTGAAGCACCACTTTAGCTAATGGGGCCTCCTGCTGCCGCTGCACAGCCAGAGCACAATTTTTGTTCTCATCCTGAAGCAAAGTTCTTAACCCGAGGTACTACTTCCGGGTTAGCGGAGTCTGTATCCTGAAGAGTATGTAACCCGAGGT